GGAAAGGGGGTGGGAGGCTCCCTTAGCTTTCATCAACTGCCCTCCCCAGCCTCAACCCCCTGGCCAGCCGGCCCAGCCTGGGTTTGGGGTGGGATTCAGGATGGAACTGCTGACTTCACAAATCTTCCCACACTTTGAGGGGCTGGGGTCCCAGCTGCTGGCCACTGGCCCCAGTAGGGTCTCCAGGCTGTTTGTCTTCCTAGTGGGGCTGGTGCAGGGGGAGGGATAAGAGTGGGGGGGACACCTGCCTGGACTTGCCTTGTCTACATTCCCCACCCACCAGGGTAGAGGCTCTGGGGGAGCCCAAGCTTCAGGTCTGGAGGGGGGAGCATGGGGGTGGGGGCCTGGAGCTTCTGCAGCAGCCCCAGCTCTGGCCTCCATCCCTGGAGCTGTCCAGCCAGTTATTCCAGCAGGCCTGGCCCCAGGACAGGGAGTGGGCAGCAAGGTGCCCCTTATCTCCCTCAGGGCCCCAAAGCCTGTCCACTGGGCCTCCTAGCTCCCATCCCTGCCACCACCCAGAGGCACCTTCGGCCCCCTGAAGCCTGAGGGAGGGCCCTGGCTGGTCAGACTGAGGTTAAAGGTAGAGGAGACCACAGGAGGTCCGCAGCCTCTCGTGATAACGGCCTCTGCCCNCCCTGCAGGGCTGTATCTGAGTTTATTGATCTTTCCCCTTCCTGACCCTTTAATCCCACGCCTCTCTTTACCCCACCCTCCGGCCCTCCCCCGGACTGTCTCCCCTTTCCCCTCCAGTCGGTCTCTAGCTCCAACCCCCTTGTCCCTCACTTGGGTCTTTCTTCCTCTCTCCCCTCTTGGTGGCAAAGCCCAGCAAGGCAGACAGCTGGGCAAGTGTGAACAAGGATCTGGGGGCTGGGGGTGGGAGTGGGGAACCTGCCACCCCTCCCTATGCAGGGGAGATGATACCCTACCCTGAGTTGGGGCTCCCATCCCGGGAAGCCTACCCTTTCACCCCGGCACCCCCCTCTAGGGACCTCTCCCTGCCCCAAGCTCCGGTCTCCTATTTGCCTTGGTCCCTCGGGGCAGCTATCTGAGGAGCCTGTAGCCCCCCCNGATGTCCTGGGCATGGCGCTGCGCCCAACCCCAGCCCCCAGCATTGACTTCCCTTCTTTCGAGGTCTGCCCTGGCCTCTGGGTCTTTCTTTCATTTGTTTCTCTCCCNGTCCCAGTGTTTGGGGGTCCAAGAAGAGGAGGGTGGGCACACAGTCCCTGCCCTCATCCCACAGCAGTGCCTCTGGGAGGAGCAGAGCAGCCAGCCCAGCCCCCTCAGGCTGCCCCTCCTGGGTGTGCCCCTCGGACGGGACCCCAGTCCAGTGCTCGGCCTGGTGCAGCGCCTGCCCACGACTGCCCGGGGGTATGCCTCGGCCTGGGGGCAGACATTCTCGTTTGGGTGTCACCCTGGCATCCACACAGCGTACCTGCACGTGTGCTCCTGTGCATGGCTGTGTGGCATGGGGGTCACCTGTGCACCGTGTGGTGCCTCTGCCCACACCAGTGTTCCTAGAAAGTGAGACTTGAGTGTGCCCATGAGCCGGCGGAAGGGACCGGGCGGTGGTCCTTCTCTCCTTGCCTGTCCTTGCAACCACCCCCTGGGCTCCCCTCCCCCCCCACCAGCTGCCAGCGGTCCCAGCCAGGGGCCGCCCCACCCCC